GTGGTCAGTTTCAAACGTATTTGATTTTTGCTTGTTATGAACAAATTCACTTCACTACTTTTCACGATCTGTAACATCAATGCACATTGTTCCATTTACTGCATATTGCACTTTATTCATGTCTCTCATTCCACCTGCAAAAACATTGTAAAGGTCGTCACAGAGAGTTTTATATATGTATAAATACTAATATTCTCTATTTATTCTGTTTTATTGCCAAGATGTTAGTTAGCCTTTGTTCAATTGTCTTTTATATGTCAATAGATACGTATGTCACAAATAAAAGTTTCTTGTAAATTATGTTTTTGTAAAGAATTTTCTCCCAAATCTCTTACATGCTAACTGTAACGTGTTATTTCTGCTAAAACCTGAACTTAAGTGTGTATATAATGTTTATCTGTTTTTCTCTCTGTTTTAGATGCAAATATCAATTTGGAGTTCTGCCTCCAAGCCAGAATTGCAGGAATGCACCACGTGTTGGCTGTTTCACTGCCCTCTGTGCCCCACTCTCAGCCCTGCTGTCAGGGCAAAGATTGAGCAGCATATAAATGGACACATTCAAAATGCTTTGCCTTTCAAAGGTATGTTGGTATTAAATATACCTCATAGTTAAAGTCATAAATATGCACTTCTTTTCAGCACCTCTGCAGGTCTTTGTTGACTTAAAGTTATTTTTCACATTGTACAGTTCAGTTCATTCATCAGCGAGAGAAAAAGTGTTTTCATTAAATATTTTTCCTGTTCACCACATTTCCTGACAGCTCTTGTGATCCACACCATTTTGCTTTCATTATTGAGGACGGCTTGGATATTTTTGTTAATATGTACAATCTGATTGTTAGATAAACTGACTGCATTCTATACAACTACATTTAAATTACATGTTTTTTCTTTTTTCTCTCTTACAGACAAATGATGTGCCGGTGCACTTTCACTGCCCTTCTGTAACATGACAGTCATACAGCGTGGGATATGGCAAGGCATTATTGTCATGTCAGCATTCAGGGATGCTCCCACTGAACTCTCTGTGGAGCCTCGTCTCCCTCTCCATGTCTCGTCTCCAGCATCTAAACCATTTCCTGAATCTTGGGTAGAACATTCATGTGCTCCCCTCTGTGCTAAATGAAACTGGGGCTTGTGGAAAGTCCATGAAAATGAAACGTCCTCACTGTGGTCTTAGTCTTCTTACAAAAAAACTTCAAGCTCACATGATGAGGAGGCATTCAAACAGGTCAATAGATGTTTGCCTGGCCTGTCATCCACAGTGTTTTTGTTAGAGGGACTTCTTCCTCTTTGTTTTTCAGTTTGCAGAGGACATGAGCTCTTTTTAAAAGCATGTGCTGACGGCAGAGACTAAGGTCAAAGCGATGTTTGACATTTAATGGACAGATGAAGGCACTGGTGTTTGTTTGTGTTTTTATCTGTTGTTTGTTTTCAGTGTACAGAATTCCAGTTAAACTTATTATAAATGCTGTTCACTTGTTTCCATACTTATAGTAAAAATGTAAGTGTAAATGCAACAGCATTGTTTATACTTGTAACTTCAGAGTAAAAAGCTTATTGTTGATATTAACATATGTTTATCCTGTAATCATAATATTTTTATGCATTTTACGCATTAACCCTCTGATCTCTATCCTGGCCATTTGGGGCCACTTCACTTCTCCTTGTTTGACTGCTACACTGCAGTGGACCAAAGATGACGCAGGTTTGATCTAAGGCTCTAATAGTTGTGTGTGTTGTGCATGACATTGCAACGCAAACATGTATTTGCAAGATAGACTGGAATAATTATGATGCATCAAATTTACACAGGCTGCAGTGAATTGTTGTTTGATACAGGTTATGAGCTTTGAGTTTCCCAGTCAAACGTAGCTTTGACACACATGCTAACACTCTTACTCTTGTACTTTCATAACAAGACACCAAAGCCAAAATATTAGCTCTCAAAAATTCAAAGCTGCAGCTGCAGCACACACAGCAACAACACTGTTAGTAAATGTGTCCTGGAGTTTCTGCAGGTGCAGAAAGTGCTGCTGCTGTAAGTCAGCCTAACAGCTTCCAGATCACTGATATTTCTGGAAGATGGCAAGAAGGGCATCACAGCTCATTTCTACAATCTCCCAGATCTTGGAATACAGCCCCTGTCCCATGAAAACCACTTCAGTAGTAGGTCCACTAACCTACAATGAAGAGTGATCCTGGAAGAAATAGGGCGCACACTAGTGACCTCAACAGTTGGCAAGACAGCCTTGTCCCCGATGTTATATGAAAAATATGAAGATTTATGAACCATTAGGACTTTATTACTGTTTTATCTGAAAGCTACTGGTAATATTTACCTAACTGGGATTTAAAGTGTAAAAAACAGAATGTAGATAAAATTTGGTTTTGATGAAAAGGAGTGGAGCTTGTGGCCACAATGTAAGCAGTGTTGCTTTGCTGACATGCACTCGATGCTGGCAGTACAGCATTGTAGTGGTTCTTATGTTTTTGTAACTAACTGTTAATATATTGAGCCATTCAACATACACAAATGTTTGTGGCTCCTTTTTGTATGCAACTGCATGTCTTTCTGAATTAATTGTTTGTTTATATCATGTTTTCAGGAAAAAGAAGAAGTTAAAGTCAAGTGGAAGCCCTGCTCAACATGGTATGTAGTAACAACTTTGTTGACGGGACAGACATTCATACTGTTGATAAATAGTTATCACCTCATTTGAATTCATGTATTTGGACTAAGTAAATTGGGAGCTGTTAGCTGTCAGCTGCTCCTCTGTGAGGAGCTTGATAGCTGTCCACCTCCAAAGTCATTATGAGTTTGGAGGTGGACATGGTCAAGACTTTTAAGAGTTGGCATAAGACTTCACTTCTTTATAGAGCTTATAGTGGGGCTGGTTCAGGTCAGCCCTTAGTTATGCGTTCATAGCACCAGACTGCTGGGGGTTAGTGTCTACTCGTGTCATTGTATATCCAGGAATATGTGCCTGGGATAGTTGTCATGAAATTCATATTAAATCAAGTTTCCTTAATGACCACAGCTGGCTGAGTTCTCCAAGCTGCCTGCTGTCTCAGGATCTGTCTCCAAAAGAACCAGGGAGCGCTAACATGTTATGTTCTAGACTGATGAAGAAAATGCACATTAAACATAGTATAAACTCACTATGTTAAGTAATGTGAAGAGGATGCTTTAGCTCCTATTGGGTTGGTTCCTTGATCAGTGCAATACAGAATCATTCATCTGTTTGATGTATGTCCTTCAACACGTCAAATGAGGCTCTGTAGTCTGTGTGGCTCCACATGCCTGTATGACCTCACTACAAACCTGGGCTGCTCCTGATGAAGTGGCAGATGGTCTCCTGATGGATCTCCTCCCAGACTCAGACTAAAGCATCTGCCAACTCCTGGACAGTCTGTGGTGCAGTTGGTGATGGAGGAGACATGATGTCCCAGATGTCCTCAAATGGATTCAGATCTGGGGAATGGCGGCCAGTCCACCAGATCAATGCCTTCGTCTTGCAGGAACTGCTGACACACTCAGCACGAGGTCTAGCGCTGTCTTGCATTAGAGGAACCCGGGGCACCCGCACCAGCATTTAGTCTCACAGGGGTCTGAGGTCTAATTTCAGCACCTAATGGCAGTCAGGCTACCTCTGCCGAGCACACGGGGGCTGTGCGGTCCCCCAAAGAAATGCCACCCACACCATTAGTCACCCACTGCCCAACCATCATGCTGGTGGATGTTTCAGGCAGCAGAAGGTTCTCCAATATGTCTCCAGACTCTGTCACACAGTACTTAGTGTGAACTTGCTTTCATCTGTGAAGAGCACAGGGCGCCAGTGGCAAAGTTGCCAAGCTTGGTGTTCTCTGGCAAATGCCAAACATCCTGCACGGTGTTGGGCTGTAAGCACAACCCCCACCTGTGGACGTCGAGCCCTCATACCACCCTCATGGAGTCAGTATCTGACCGTTTGAGCAGACGTGTGCATATTTGTGGCCTGCTGGAGGTCATTTTGCACAGCTCTGGCCTTTCTTTCCTACCCCACAGTACCTTTCCTTATCTTTTGTTTCCTACTCTTTTACTTAGTCTTTGATCACGGTTGTCTTTCTAGATAATTAATGTCATTTGTTCTGGGGCGAGTCACTGGCTCGGGTGCATTCTGGGACTGTCAGTTCACCAGTGTGCTGGCATGCTTCTTAACAAACACACCACTACAGCAAACATCTCAGTTGTACTTGTTGATTTCTTCAACAAAACACTGAACAAAACATGTCCTTGTGAGTGTGCTGCCTGGTGCTTTTACATTTTGTGGTAATTTGAGCAGCCCAGAAAGCATCCCATGAATTCAATTATGTTATTGTATCTGAACATGTACACGAGTCATTAAATTAGATGGGAAAGAATGATTCAGGGTAAACAACTGCACCAAGGGAATTACATTTTTCTTCTCAACATGTAAAATGTCTGTTGATAAGCAATTTCTGAAACAGACATTATAAAAATCACATTAAACAGATGTGATTAACTTTTTATTCTAGCAAACATAACATCAATGATGACACAATCAGTCTTCATCAGAAGTGCTCAAATCACTCTCATCGTCTGAAACGTCCTCCTCCTCCTCCGAGTCCATTTCCAGGAGTGGTTGGTGGCTGAGGATTCTCTTGTACACGTCCTTTACTTTGAGCGTTTCAGCTTTCAGTTCACTTTGTTTTTAAACCAGGCTATGGAGTCCTTTCTGTGCATCCTCCGACATTCCAACAAGGGAGGCTGTAAAAACAACAAAACTATTAAATATAAGTAAAACAAACAAACAAAAAAACTCACCTCATAAACACAAGGAGTTAGGATCATGTAATAAACTTTTTTTAAGGGAGAAGGCAGTGTTAGCTAGCAACCCAAATATAGGTAAAAGATCCAGTAAGACTTTAGCATCTGCTTATTTTCAATCAATTCATCACCAAATGTATAAATAAATAAAAGATGTGCTTACAGTCTGAGGAGATTGTCCCCAACACCACAGATCGCATTTGCAACACTGTCCAGTGATGCTGCATCTCCCTGCAAAGGATCATCTCCTCCTCTCTCAGGCGCCTCACAGCCATCACCTTCTCAAAGACCTTTCTCTTTGTCCGGAGGTCAGCAGCAGCTGCAGTTTAACAACATCAGATGGGAAAACATAGCAGCATATTATGATTCAAGAACAAAACATTCAACTGCTGCTCAGATACTGGGAGTTTGTTTAAAAAGGATATTTAGAAATCAAGAGCTTACGTTCACTTGTGCTCTGCCAGGGCCAAACGTCGCTCTGCATGAGGGCATCACTGGATACGATTTGCTTTGTTGCTTGTTTCCTTGTTGTAGTCGTCAACAGCAGCCGCCAAGCGTTTCTTCTCATCTAAGATGACCTTGTGAATTCTGTGTCGCCTCTTGTTGCTATCTGTAAATAATCATAAAAAGGAACACCTTCACATAATGCATATATTTACATTTTAATCTACACTCATCAATTCGTTTGCTAGAACAAATCACATCCAGCTTAAACAAACCTGGATCTGATTTTATTCTGTTTACAAAGTAGCTGTACAAGCTGTACAAACTGAGCATCAAACGGTCCGTTTCAAAGAAACTGTGACACCATTTTGTCTGTAAAGACTTTGTGTTCGCACTCTGATGATGACGACAAGCTCCTCTACTCGTGCCTGCAACGCTCCAAGGCTGCCATCAGTTTGATCCGTTTCTAAGTGAGAGGAATATTAATCAGAACACAGGATGAGTAACAGTCACCAAACTACAGTGGACTCTGTAATCACTGACTTGATGATATTCATTATAAGACATCTGGAGCCTTCATGTGCTGCATTATCATGAGATAACAAGTATGTTGGTGTTCAGCTTTATAAAACCAACTAGTACGACATCACTTCAACCCAGGTCCAATCCAATTTGATCAAACGCAACAACTCTGCCATCAATTCTGCTTTTACAAGCTTATTTTTCATTGTTTGTTGACACTGTCAGAAAGATCTTAACTCTAAGTTCTTTAATGAGGCCATGGTGGGTCCTGTTGTTATACACGAGTGCATTATATTGAGACTCACCTTCAGCCCATTGCTGCAGTGTGTCGTCATCCACACCCAGCTCATTTCTGCTCGCATTCAGGCTCTCCACTTGTTCTCTAAGATCCTTATGATCTAAGAATACATTAATAAATGTCATTCATATGGACATTTTTAGAGTACTGGTGTTTCCCCCCATTACCACACACATTAAAATGGGTGTTGAAAAAATGACCTTTAGATATCTCTGGCTCAAAGTGCGGCCCAGTTGTTCCACTTTCCTTTTGTTCCAGCCCAAAGCCAGGAGGCTCAGCATGTCTGTTCGCCCTGCATTTCAGTTAGTATACAAATAAGAATGAATGAGCAGGAGACTGAGTGGAATCTCACACACAGACACACACCTGCTTTAGACATGTACTTCGTTGTGATGGCCGCCCTAGACAGGAAACTGTTTACTTGTTCCACCTCTTCTCCAACTGTAGAACCGGCCCCATCCTGAAACGCACCTCCCCATTTGATCTATAGAAAGGAGGTCACAATACATGACTGCTGAATTCATTCAACCTTATAACAAAATGTCTTAAACGTATCCAAGACTACAAGCTGCAGTATACCTCGCACATCCAAGTGTGAGCTACTCAAAATGAAGTACACATTAAGATAAAGTCAAGTAAATAGTATTACGACAACACCAGAGAAAAACAAAATAAATATCCACCCATCCAAATATGTATCCACACACACACACGTATGAGTATATGGTTATGGCGTTAACGTCATTTTAACAAGATTAACGCTGACAGCACTGATATATATGTGTATCTTACATCATTTGTGTGTCTCTGGATGTATTTCACAAACTCAGCAACTTCCTCATCTTTCTCAATGAAGACACCTTCAAAGTTCCCCTGCTCTGAAGTGCTGAACGAACACGGTGACAGTTGTTTGAAAAGAAACATCAAAATACAATTTTTGTACAAATCCATATTTGATTTATGTACACAATGCATAACGTACCTTGCATTTGATTGAAAGCGATAAAGCTTGCAGTTTCCATCAACTGAGACGGCGAGCATGTCTGGAGTGCAGGCAGGGCAGCTAAGCATGGCTCCTTGCACATCCT